GTCCGCGCATGCGCCCGCCGGGTGCGTGCGACCCCCGTCTGTGCTTGCGATACAGAAACCGTGCAGGGCTGCGCTGTAAGTCGTCAGTTCCTGTATGAACGATAGTATTTATATCCGTTGGCCTCTCTGTATAACGTTTCGTTTGCTACATGAATTGTAAAATTAATCCTAAAGTTATAGTACCTGCTAAATACAATTCTGAGGCTTCACGTCCTTGTCTTTAGTTTACTGCCATTCTGTGTGTTTCAAGGATGTCCCATGCTTGCATGATGCTAGGTGGTAATGCCACTTTAAATTAAGCCTTAATCAGATGTTAAATTTGTAAGTTTCAGAGTATGCAAAAATATTAGGCAGAGCGAGTTTAAACTGTTCAGATTAAGATGCTATATCGTAATTCAACAAGTCTTTTCTCCATAGTTACAAAGGGAAACTTTCAGTGATACACATCTCTTCCCCGACCCTCTCTCTCTCTCTGTCTCTCTCTGTGGTCTAGCTTGGCTGTTGCCAATCGCTTTTTGAAAATGGACCATTGTGCAGTTCTGTGGCAGTCAGTCAAAGAGACCTGTTCTGAAAATCTTGAGACTTTTTCAGGGTTATTTTTAAATGTTTGAATTTTTTTTTTTTTCCCTCCAGTCTGAGATTTATTTATGGCTGATGGAGAGTGTGATTTGGCCATAAATTTTATTTGCAAACCTGCTCATGTTCTAAGCTTTCTTCAGGTAGTGCCACCTGCCATCGCTTCTGTATATGATTAAATGAATTTTTGTTTTCGTAAAAGCATCTTAAATTTAGACATAAAATGGAGGGGACCCAGCTTTCTTTACAATGTGGATCTACCTCAGTTAAACAGTTGGGTGCTATTTACTAAGTCTGTCAAATTAAATTGGAAAAAGTAACCAAACAGATATAACTCCACACGAAGCTTGAAATCATAATTTCCGTTTATTTAATACTATTTTATTTATGTTGTGCCTTTTGTGTTGAATTCTAATGCATTGAAAAAAAATCAGTATGAAATTAAATATTTTATATTGCAGGTGGGGAGAAAAGCCCATTGGCCATGGAATTTGATAGATTATCCCCAGCCAACCACTAACATGCATTGGAATCCCAACTGCCCTCTTGTGGGGGAAAAAAAAAAAAAAATCCAAGAGAAAACGTAACATTTTACAAACAAATTCCAAACTCTTCTATGCACATATTTTCAGCTATCACTTCATTTTCTGTGCCAATGAAGGGGCGGCCAAAACCAGCCCACATGTACTCCTACCATTGCTTTCTTCACTGTTTGGGCCCCCTCTTCCTCTGGCCTGCACGTTTATGTCATAAGCATAATAAGATGGACAGTTGCAGATGTCATCTCTCCTGACCTGGTAGAGGTGTTAATGACCAGGGCCAGAGGAAGGGGCGCTCCCAAGGCCATCTGAGGAGGGGGAGGCCTGCCTTCAGCAGCAGCCCCAGAGTTTCCTTAAGTCAGGAGAGTTTTCTGGCAGGTGAAAAAATAAGAGATCGATGACTTTCCATGCTTTTATATTTGGCAGTTTACAATTCTAGACTTTTCCTACTATGGCGATCTTTTTTAACTTAATTCTTTGGAGGTAACACAATATTTTGGAGTCTTAAGAATTTGATTTTATACCAATAAAAATCGAAAATTACGGATCTTTCCTGTAGTATATAGTTTTACTATTTTAAAGAGATCTCTGACTTTTACAAGAGAACCAACATTCCTTAGTGGCAAAACTTTGAAAGTTGATTTGGGAGGCTTTTTGCTGCAGGATCTCAAAAAAAAAAAAAAAAGGGGGGGGATGATTCTAGTTAAATGTTTTTAATTTTTAAAATCCCATCAGGTCGACCCTTAAGCTATATTTTGTAAAGAGTAAATCACCCTTTAGTATGCTGCATATAAAGATCAGCGTTGTTGCACTTTCTCGATAATAATAAATGCCCTGCGATTGGCTCACCAGTAAGCATTTTGTTTTTTTACCAGACAAGAGTACTTTGGGGCAGGTGATTAAATTTCTATAGGTACCTCAAGAAAAAGAACCTGAATATGCTGCATTTTGTTTCTTTAGCTTTTATATGTAGCATTTTGTTTTGCTCTATTTTGTTTAGATATATGCTTTTTGGACCCCAATAGACTGTTGAAAGAAATTTTTAAATTACCCTTGTATAGGGGTACAGTATCCTTTTAAAAAAAAAAAAACCACAAAACTTCAATATCTGGTTCAAGTTGCCCACCAGTAGAATGATACTTTACCCAGACACCCGAGAAAAAAACAATTCCACGTCCGTCAGCAGACAGTAACGTTCCCAGCCCTTTCTGCTCATGCTGCTTTCTTGATTCTTTTCTCCATGTCATCAGGAGGGCGGGTAACTCGTTTCTAAGGTCAGACTTAAACATTGTGGCATCTTAATGTTTTCGGCACAGACCTCACACAGTTGCCATGGAGTGAGTAGCATGATCCTAAAGGTATCGCTGGCATTAGGCAGCCGGGGCAGCCTGGCCCCTCGGAAGCGCCGGCCTCCACCTTTCTCTCTTCCCCAGCACTCGCCCTAAACTGAACAGATGGGGAGTGGTCTCGATTGACAAAAGATAAACTGGTGAAGAAAGCTAAAGGCTGAGACACTGAGCATCTATTGTCGTGTTTAAGCTTAGCTGGGTCCTTTCGAGTTTGTTTTACAGCTTATTAGATTAAGTAGTTTGCACTATTTTTGCAATAAATTCATGGAAAACCTAACAGTTATTTGTTTCTTACTGTGTGTATATAAACTAATACTAAAAGTTTGGCATAGTGTTTTTTCACCTCCTTACATTACCCTTAACATGCACAGAATGCTGTAAATCTGATAAAATATGATGTGAATGATATTTTATAAAGTTATTTTGTATGGTGTCAATTTTGTTTTGCCTCATAGTATGTCAGCAAAAAGTAAAATAAAATTCCTCGTATTTACAGCTGCCTCTCCGAAAGGTCTTCAATTACTCACGTTTGTTTGGGCTCTTCCTTCTGCACCGGTTAAGACTCCAGGCTTCCAAGGTGAGAGCATACCTTCGATGACAGAAATCTAGGGCCTTATTCTACACGCACTGGACCTGTTCCTTGAACGGTGGTCTCGGTAGAGCTAGGCATTACCACAGAGAGTTGGGGTTGGGGGTGAGATCCATGAGAATGAATGGGACAGCAGTCTCCAGGATGAGCCGGGTGCTTCTACTTTAGCAGCCATAGTTGAAAAAACCATTTCAACTATGCCCCGATCAAGTGCAGAGCCCTGAGCTCCACGCTTTGCGGGAATCAGCGCTGACCACATCTGGGGTGCACGGCCTGGTGGCCTGCCCTGGCTGTTTACACGTCCTGGTACAGCTCTGAAACCCGCGCTGGCCTCACTGGGCTGTTTCTGACTTCTGTCTGAACATGTGGTGGGAAAGGAAAGGACCGTTGGCTTAAGAAAACCAAAAAAAGCGACCGAACATCCCTAGGTTGTACATTATTGCTAAAGCAAGCCAAGGGTTTGTTCTCTGTGCACAAATGTTTACGGAGCTTTATTTATAATCATCAAAACTGGAAACAACCCAAGCTGGGAATTATCCATCACCCGAGGACTGGATATGTGAATGGTGTAGATGGTGCGGAATCCCACTCAGCACCAGAAAGGAGTGGACTGCTGATCCCTGCTTCCCGCAACACGGTGAATCTCAGTGCATTATGCCGAATGTAAAAAAGCCAGCCTCAAAGTCTGCACGCTGTACGCCACTGGGAAGACAGGCCAGCAACCCCTGGTCTGTGGGCCAAATCTGGCCTGTGTTTCTGTATGGCCTATTGGCTGTTGGTTTTTACATTCTTAAATGGCTGGGGGAAAAAAAAAGCCAAGACTATTTCAAGACCTATGAAAACTACAAAATTCAAATTTCGGTATCCAGAAATGGTTTTCCTGATAATACAGCCACGTTCCTTCCTGTAGGTATTCTCTGGCTGCTTTTGTGCAATAGCAGGGTTGAGTAGTTGTGACATAGATTATATGGCCCACAAAACCTAAGACATCATCTGGCTGTTTCAGAAAGTGCTGACTCCTGCTATAGGGGCAGTGACCAGCTCAGTGGTGCTAAGTCTGGCCGTGAGGACGTTTTGGGGGTGAAAAAACTTGTAATAACTGTGGTGGTTACATGACTCTGCCTGGGAACAGGGGTGGGACTAGCTCCAGGGTGGCATGTGGAATATTTGGGGTGACGAAACTCATCTGGATATCGACCGCCTACCAACGAACCCTGAACATAAAGGATGATCTTACTGGATGTAAGTAATTTTTTAAAAAGATGAAAAAGAGTCAAAAATTTACCCTTTAAGAAAAAAATATAGGACTTATGGTTTTCTCCTGTGAATAATAGAATTATCGTGGGTATAAAGAGAGGAACAGTAAAATGAGATACATCTTCAGTAAACAAAATGTTCTAAAATGTGCTTATGCAGAAATAATAGTTCTTTTCGTATTTATAATCTGACTTGAAATTTTCCCCTGGGAATAAAATGCTTGTTTTTAAATTTCAGAAAAGTCTCAGGTAATAAAACATTAGAACAGAGGGCCCATAAAGCATTTTACTGTAAAAATATGACAGCTTTTATTTAATAAAGTTTTGTCTTTACAGTTTAAAAAAATGCAGTATTTGGACAAATATTCAAACAAATTTTCTTGAAATACAAAAATTAAAATGTAACATACATATAACACTATAACAAAATGTAACAAACTACATATTTAGCTAAAACTGGATCTAGTTGTTTAGAAAAATAGTTTCAAAATACACATATGAATTTACATAACTGATATTTAGAAGCTCTTTAAAATCTATCTGTAAATTTAAAAGTTAAGCAAAGTTGTCTTTGCCTCTACAGCTGAGAGCTGCAGGTGGGCTGGTAGTGCCTGACTGTGCTGGTAGCTTTTTCTCAGTCACCTCTCCTTAGCGTGAGCCTGTCAAAGAGGGGCTGTTGTCTGGGTTACTTTGCTTTTTTGGCTTTTATAGGTGTAGGTGCATCAGATGCTCTTTCTCAGCCCAGAAAGAATACAATGCACTTAAAGTCTCTGAAAAGTGAGGAAACTGAAGTCTCGCAGTGCTGTGCTTGCTTCAGAGCACCGGTGCTGATCCAGGAGGGGCTTTACCAGGCCGACTTTTAAAGCACGTCTTTTTGGGTTTAGGATTCCGCTTCATTGTCACTTTCATCGTTGTTGTCATTCTCCTCCTCGTCTTCCCTCTTCTCCTTAAGCATTTTCAGATATTTACTAGCTAATATCTTCTTTGGTAATATATCTTAAAAACATAAAGCTAACATTAGCTATTGGTTATGATGGGCCATGAAAACCGCAACGCAAATTTCAAAATGTACTCGTTCCTGCTCTGACCTCTAGAATAGTTTCCAGAACAAGAAAAATTCAGACTACCAAATGCTGAAGACCGGTTTCCATTCCACTGACCGTAAACCACCATATGTTTCTGTGTGCAGGTAAGGACCGTGAGGAACCCTGCCCAACCTACCTGAGACAGGCCCGCTGGCCCCAAGGGTAGACTTAAGCTCTTTTTAGCTGTGGTCCACACGACTTGTTCCACAAAATAGCTATTAGTTTCTGTTTTGGAGGCCAGGTAGACTGGCCCAGAGCTTTCCCTTCAGTGGTAAGAAGTCTCAGGGGGTGGGCCTGCCAGGCTCACCCAGCCAGCCAAACATCCTTGTACAGGTTGTTGACTTCATTATCATTCTAGGTGAGCCACATTACAAACGTACTCAGACAAAACTAAAAATGTCTTCCTGTGCCAGGTCATGGTAAACTCTGGCACCCAGAGAACGCAGCAAAATGTTTATTTCAGTGAAAGCAGGAGAAAAAAAGCTGTAAATTACTAAGCATTTTTTGACCAGAATGTTTCAAAGACTAAGTACCTGCAAGAAACTGAAACGTTTCCGATTCCTCTGCAGTGTTTGATAAATCACTGTAAGTGAGCGCTTTCTTTTCTTTCCCACTGCCATGTCTGTAGGAATAGGTGGCTAGATATTGAACAAAGAGCTCCTAAAACAAAACGGAAAGGTAAAATGAACGGTGTGCTTCGAAAACTTACAGAACTTAATTTTTTTACTTATGTTAAGTTTTGATGGTTGCAGACTATCTTGGTTTCTCCAATTACAGGAAGTCACTGGGGAAAGGAGAAATATGAGATCAGAAACTGAGGCCTTATCAAAGTTGGCAGAGAAGCAGGCATTTTCCTAAGGTTTATTTTAGATTTTTAACTGATGAAAAATATTTGGAAGTAATCAAATAATGAATCATAAATGTTTAGTGACCATTCTGTGCGGTAAAAATAGGAACAAGAAACCATTCAAATTTCTGCTTGGCTCAGGAATACTTCATGTCTAAGGTGGTTCGCCTACAACTGTAACAGTCAACAACCGGAAGCTGAAAATTGACCACATTTCCCATTTTGCCCAAACACCCTCCCTCCAGCAACAACCTGGACTGAGCCTCTCTCAACGTTTTTACTTTAACTCCATCTACTTTGGTTAGTAAGGAATTAAAGAAGTGCCTGCATAAATCTTAGTCCCTTAACGCTTATAGAATGAAATTGTACAGGAAAACACAAATATCTCAACATCACATGCTGAACTGGCAATTATTTCCCTGGACTCTTAAGAAAGCTTGGCGCTGGCATAAAGCAGGCAAGGAATCTGAGACTTCCCATTTCCCTTAGCTCTGGTCCAACGTATTGAAGGGGCGCTGTGTACTGAACTAAGAGCTGGAAAATACAGTCTAAAGAAAGCTAAAGCAATTAAGACTGTGCAGCTTAAACACAGCCCAATGTAAGAACAGGAAAGGTCTTAACCTACTATCTAAACCAAATCGAGACAAAATTATCTATTTTGCACCCGGGAGGGGGCTGATACAGCACGCTGTAAAACTAAGGAATTACTTCGACTGTGGCTGGGGATGTCTCCGGTAGACGGGGAGAGGGGAGGTGAACGAACGGCACCACAGGCCGTACTTCCAGAGGAAGCCCTCGACCTGCGTGTGTACGGCGCCCGGACCCTGTCGCTGGATCGTTTGAGGAGCTGGGGCACCGAAACCAAGTAAACAGGCCGGAAGCGAGAAAACGGGCAGGCTTTGGGGCCCAAAGTACGGTCACGCGGACGGATGAGATGCAAAGGAGGTCCGCGACATTCCGAGCCGCTGCCCAGATCACCCCGACGCGAGGACGCGGCCGCGCGCGAGGGCGGGCGGGGCGAAG